AGTGCGGTAATCGAATCGATGAGTTCAGCTGTTAACGGAAAGGAGGTGGCGGACGTTCGATTTGATCCGAAGGCTGTGGTACCGGAGCTGGTGCCGGCAGTGGTGAAATCAGAAGGTGTAGATGCGGCGGTTAATGGCGGCGGCGAGGAGCAGAAGAGGGAGATTGTGTTAGGTCGGAATATACATACGTCGTCCTTTTCTGTTACGGAACCTGATGCTGATGATGATTTTACTGGTGATAAGGAAGCGTATATGGCTAGTGTTCTGGCTCGGTATAGGAAGACTCTCACAGATCGAACTAAGTATCATTTAGGTATTGTGTTCGTTTTGATTTTGAATTGTTACACTTGATTATGTTTATTGGTTTTGATTTTGAATTATTATGCTTGATTCTGTTTATATTTGGTTACTCTATAGATAGAATCGTATATTTGTTTAGGTTGGCTTAGATTGCACCTATCCTTCTTGCTTGCTTACCTATAGCTCTCTTGTCTTAGTGATTCTTCCTCTTTTCTAGGTTTTTTTTCTGAGTGTTAAAACAATAGATTTTTCATTTGCCAATGAATTGGATATCTTTTTGACAAAAGTTGTTACTGATGGCTAAGTTTGGCTCTTCAAATAGGTGTTATACATATCTATTATGGGTTAAATCCTCCTTAAAACTAGAAAGACTAGGATATCAGCTCCAGTGTAAATTTTAGGCTGAATACATAAACAAACATAACTTGTTAAAACTCTTCATCTAGACACCTTAACTCAGCTCATGACCTGCTCAAACTGTATCAGTTATGCAGAGTGTTGACATGACAAAATAGGTGAGTTTCATCTATCTTGAGATCGTATACATGTCAAAATTAAGTTAGCATTGATTTTAAAACTAATAAAATCCATTCCTCTTCTATATATAGTTCTCCAATTCATTTCTCCCCCTCAAAGTCTACCATTTTTTAAAATACTTGGACACCAAAAGCTCCAAGAACACTCAGAAACCAAAATCAATAACAACAAAAAATTTAGTGATCATATTTGGTTCATGAATATCCACAAAGTAAAAATGACCTACCAAACGCCATGGCAAAGTATTATGGCTCTGGAAACTTTGTGGGCTATATTGGTGCAACCCTTAAATGTACCAACAAATAGGTTGCTCTGCCATTTTCTGCTGGTGGCACAGTGTTAGAGAAGCTGTTGAAAGTGAACTAGAACATAGGAAAGTAGTCTCTATTACTTTATAACACTTGGTGAGATTTGGACATAAAAGGTTTCTATATGATAGAAGGACCTAGAACTGCAGACCAACTCATCTTGCTATCTCTAGAAATATACAAAGTTGTCCTAAAAGGTTAAGCTAATGCTAATCTAGTAGTTACTGATCTCATATGGTCGAGGTGTCTTTAAGTCGGTGGTGATTCTTCTCCAGCTAGAAGTGGAAGTAAACAAGACAAAAAAGGAAGAAGGGAGGAAGCAGACGGATTAGTTTTTTAGCTTTTGAGTGTAGCTGGGTTTGATTGGAAAGAGATGAGGACTAAATGTTTGTGGATCTGGTCTTATTGTTGGTTTTGGGAATAATAATAATAATAAATTTTTTTTTCCGTGCTGCTCAATATTTTTGGAAGCTACTAAGTCCATGTGTCTTTATTGCATTGTTTTTTCCCAAGTTACCCACACATGAAATACACATATCTCATTTTTTTACAGTCTCAATGCCTTGTGTGTGATGAGTATAGTTCTTGAGTAGTCTAGTTTTCCGTTAGGTACCTTCCTAGTTTAGGTGTCCAAATGAATTGAATAATAAGGCAAGATAGGGGCAGCTTATGCATTTGGCATAGATTTTACTACTATTTTCCTTTTTGGTCTTCTTGTTGGTTTCAGATTTTGATAATTTATTTATTATTCGGGTTTAAAAGTAGCAGTTGTATGAAATATTGTATGAAAGTAGCGAACTTGTTACTTCTACCAAAAAGTGTGTGTGTTTTGGTGTGTGTGTCATATCTGATGATATTGATGTAACCTGAGAGGATGAAATCACTGGGTGGTTATTTAATATGAAGTGTTTCTCATAATCTTCACCTAAGTTTGATATAGTTTTCCCCCACCTCCTAAGTTTGCTGATGATTAAAGTTTGATTTTTGTGTTGACTTTAGCGGTAAAAAGTTCTCTCTAAAATTAAAATGATTCGGATCCTTGTATTTCCTTATTTAAAAAGTCGGTCTTTATTAGAACCTTAGATATTGATTGCCTTTGAACTATCTTAGTAATGTTAATACTAATATTTTGTGCGATAGATATGTTGAAATTAGCCAACTTTATGTCCAGTGGGTGGATGAACTACTCTAGTTTACAATATCCTCTACTTCTTTCATTGCATTCCAAGTATAAAGAAATATTTGCCTGATTATTTATGATTGCTGATTGTCACAGGGTATCCATATAATTTGGATTTCGATTATGGTGCACTCACACAATTGCAGCATTTCTCCATCAATAACTTAGGAGATCCATTCATTGAGAGTAACTATGATGTGCACTCAAGGCAGTTGGAAGTTGGTGTTTTGGACTGGTTTGCGCGCCTATGGGATATTGAAAAGGATGAATATTGGGGATACATCACAAACTGTGGAACCGAGGGAAATCTTCACGGAATCCTTGTTGGGTTAGTATATTTTTTAATTTATTCCTTCAGAACTTAAGGTTTGGTGATTAAGAAATGGTTACCCTCGTTTTTCCTCTCTTTTACTAATCCTACGGAAAACACGATCTTAATAATGCAGGAGAGAAGTATTTCCTGAAGGAATTTTGTATGCTTCAAAGGAGTCTCATTATTCTATTTTTAAAGCAGCACGAATGTATAGGATGGAATGTGAAAAGGTTGGCACTCTACTAACTGGTGAAATAGATTGTGCAGACTTCAAAGTTAAGCTACTAGCCAACAAGGATAAGCCTGCAATCATTAATGTCAACATTGGTACTGTCTGACTCTTCAACTGTCTGAGATATTTCCCTAAATGCAACAACCAATTAGTTGCCTAAGGTGCCATCTTTTTTGGTTGACAGGAACTACTGTGAAAGGAGCTGTTGATGATCTTGTCATAAAAACCCTTGGAAGACTGCGGATTTTCGCATGATCGGTTTTATATCCACTGTGATGGGGCTCTCTTTGGGCTTATGATGCCATTTGTCAAGCGCGTAAGTAGATTTGTTTCTCCAAACTGTTTTTATTGTTCAACTTCTCCTTGCATTTCTTAAACTAGCCACTCTGAAGTGCATGTAAAAATACTTGGCTATTGTTAGAAAAGCACAGGAGTTTATTTGAGGTACTCTTATGAAATCAAAAATGGGAAAATAGTTTTTGCAGCCTTGTTAGGTATTTGATGCCACTACTAATGTTGTGGAAGGTTATAATGTAAAATTGTTTTCTGTTCTCTGTAACCATTGCTTTTGGAAGTAAGGGAGAAAAGATGAAGAAGAATGCAAAATTCATTTCTTTTGGTTGATTAGGAGGACAAAAAAGATAAACTAATCTTCTTTTCATGTGTTCCTTGTGTGGATATACTTCTTCACAGTACAAGCAAATCAGAGATAGGAAGAAAAGATATTTTGTGTACAGATCTACTGTCCTGTTGGCAGTGTTTATGTTCCTTATTCTTTTTGATAAATATATGAATGCTCTCATGCGCGTACCTCTTCACAGTAAAAAACTAAAAAGAGATTCTGTAAGCAGAGACCATCCACTGCCGCAGCTTTTCTGCAACATAGATTTGTCTATTATCTTTCATTTCTCATACTTGCTACTATTTTATGGAACAAGATGTTATTGTTGTCTCAGATTTTCCTATAAGTAATATCTTAAATTCTTACAGACACCAAAGGTTACTTTCAATAAGCCAATCGGTAGTGTGAGTGTCTCTGGTCACAAGTTTGTGGGATGTCCAATGCCATGCGGTGTTCAACTAACAAGGCTAGAGCACATTAATGCCCTTTCTAGTAATGTGGAGTACCTTGCATCAAGGGATGCCACTATCATGGGAAGTCGGAACGGGCATGCTCCACTTTTCCTTTGGTACACTCTGAACAGAAAAGGGTACAAGGGATTCCAGAAAGAAGTCCAGAAGTGCCTAAGGTATGCTCATTATTTGAAAGACCGCCTTATAGGAGCTGGAATCAGTGCTATGCTCAATGGCTGAGCAGCACAGTTGTTTTTGAGCGACCTAAAGATGAGGAGTTTGTTCGCAAGTGGCAACTTGCTTGTGAAAGAAATATGGCACATGTTGTCGTGATGCCTAGTGTGACAGTTGATAAGCTGGATAACTTCTTGGACGAATTAGTTGAAGCACGATCAATCTGGTACAAGGATGAGGACTTCAAACCTCCTTGTCTCGCTTCAGATATTGGGAGTAAAAACTGTTGCTTCCCTCAGCACAGAGTGATCTCTTAGAGAAGAGAAAGCTCTAGGTTTCCTGTTGTTTCTGTAGGAAACATTAGAGGCATCGTAGAAATGATGTTTGTATTAGAGAAGCTGTAATTTGTTTCTGTATGAAACATTAGATTCATTGTAGTAGTGATGTTTGAATTGTGACTTTGAATCTGGTAGAAGCATATCATTGTTTGGCCCTTATGCTTCTGCATTAGTGTGTTTTCCATAAGGAAGAATTTGCCAAAAATACGTGGCAACTTTGTGAATTTTTGTGTGTTCCTCTCCACTTGTTCGGTTATGACTGCAATATTTGTTTCAGCAAGTACTTGCTTTGAACGTAAAGATATATCACTTTGTTAGAGACTGCAAATATTTAATCATCATCGAAGAGTTCCATACTTAATATTTCAATTTTACACTGGATCTTTAGGAACAACTTCAACACCATGGTTACTTTTCCTTATTTGTGCTATTACATTCTCCTATAAATCTGAAAATGCTTTAGTTCTTCTTCTTTGTGTAGTACAATGTAAAAGACATTATCTAAAGTGTCTCAACCATGACAGGATACTTGTTCTTCAGCATCCTAACAAGTGTTGGCTTGGACGGAGTCATCTGTGTCTAATGGTGTCCATCTACAAGGAAGACAAATTTTCAAGTCAGTAATGCAGTTGCCCACAGGGAATTAGATTTTTTTTTTCAAAAAGACTGTTTCTTGTTTATTTTCCTTACTTGTATCTGCAGACAAGATGATGAAGAAAGACAGAAATTTCCAGTTTGGCTAAGTTGATTCCAGGACACATGCGTGGTCCGCTTCCAAATCCAAGGAAGCTGAAAGGTTTTAGAGGATCCTGTACAGAATCCAACAATTTTCTTTGTTATGAAAATCTCAGGAGCCTACTTATTATGTTGGAGAACTTACATCAAATCTAGAAGGATCAAACTTCTCAGGATTAGGAAAAATCTTGGGGTCGCGGTGGATAGACACTACATCCAAGTTAAGTGACCATCCCTTCTTGATTTTGCACCCTGAACATGGTTTTAAAGAATCATTTTAGATCATACAAAATCTAGATATCGAGAAATCTGACTGTTACCCTCAATCTCAAAATCTTGTGCTGCTTTTCTTGAAAACCACGGAAGGATTGTGGCCATTCGAAGTGTTTCACTGATTACCTGAACATTGAGATATCAACAAAAGAAAGTTTATTTTTTGAATTTCAGGGATGAACAGAAGCTGGATTTATGACTAGTATGCAAGCTCACTTTGGCGGTGTAAGGCATATTGTTGACTTCAGACCAGGTGAGATCTAATGTGCCTTGTTTTCGAGCTTGGATTTCTCTATGCTCCTCCTGTAAATAAAAGATTCTAAGTTATAAACTAATGTCAGCAGTTAAAGGTTGCTCCTTTTCTCCGTTAGGTTCGAATAAGAATTACTCTTAGTCGTTCCAATACAGCAGGATTTTCTTGAAGAAATTTGAGGAGCCATGTTAAAGCAGCAGTTGTAGTATCGTGGCCTGCAACTAGAAGCGTCAATATGTTATCCTTAAGTTGTTTATCTGTGAGTTTGTCATCATCATCTCCTTCTGGTGCATCTTTGCCATGCTTCTTCACCAGGGATTGCAAGAAATCTTGTTTTATGGTTTCCCCACTCCTCCGTTGGTCAATTATCGAGTCTAACATAACATACATTCGATCACGAGCCTGTAGTTTACAGATAGTCATCTCTTTTAAGCTGTCCATTCATCATATTTTGCATAGAATATCGACAATTTGTTACCTGAATGCCACGATAAAAGGCAGTTCCCGGGACTTTAAAGGGTAAAGAAGCAAAAGAGCCAGAAATAATCTTGAAATTGGTTCGAAATTTCTCTTGCTCCTCACCAGTTGGCTCTAAACTCATTATCATGTTGCCTATCACCTTCAGTGTAAACTGCAAAAAAGAATAATCTGAAAGGTTCAAAAATGCCTCCTTTAGACCAAACTCTACGAAAAAATGATCATAAGACTCAACTGTGGAAGTTTCTTCAAGAACCAAAATTTTTCTTCCAGACCACTGATCCAATGTTTCAATAGCTAAACTGTTGATAAACTGAAAATACTTCTTTAAAGCATCAACAGAAAGTGGTTCAGCAATTAGTCTTCGGAGTTTCTTGTGCGCCTCTCCTGTCTGTTGGAGCAAGCTAGTAGGTCCAAGTACCTGCTGTCCTGTGTAGAAAAGGTTAAGCTCACTATCCCATCTTTACCTGTCAACAAGATCTTGCTTGCCGCTCTTCCGGTCATGAATACCGTATACCTTCCCAATACATAACTCTTAAACACCTTCCCATACCTAATAAGCAAAACCATAACACAAATCATAAAATTGAGGTCAGAATTTAGATGACAGAGAATTTTCTTCGCAAAGTGATGTAAAGATAGCGTGTTGAACAGTTTTCTGAAGGGAATGACAATGTTAGATCAATCTCAAAAGCTTATATATAGCAAGCATTATCTTACTGAACAACTTTATAACCTCTCTAAAACATAGCACATATTCAGGATTGCCCCTGGAGAAAAATTTGAACAATTTTCGACGTGCTATAGTATGATATACTCACAGTTGCTGTCTCTTATTGATGAAGCTGTATATACCAGCAGGGCTCGAAAATTCGGATATGAAAGAGAGACTTTCTCCAATAATAGGCCATCCTAAGGTACCTGGAATTGCTTCCATTTCTTTTGGAGAAGCCTTATTTGTTCTTAATAGAACTAGTAAAACTACTAAAACCAACACTAACAACATTACAATAAACATGATTAACTCCATTCTTGATTGTGTTAAATCTGCAAAATTTGATGAGTTTATATGTGATATTCTACTGATGATCTCAAGAATGTTCTGTGAACAGCTTAATATTAAAAATAATTCCTTGTTTGTTGTTGATTAATTTGTACAAGATGAATGGGATAAGACAAATTGACCCCATTGAATATAATAATACTCCCTCGTCCAAATTTATGTGAGATTCTTTCCTTTTCCTCGTTAGTCAGTCTCAAAAGAATAACTCTTTTCTATATTTAGTAAGTAACAATTTAACTTTAAACTTCTCATTTTAAACCACAAGTATTTGTGTTTAATCTATTCAAACACTATGGGAGTGGGGTAGGGTGGAGTGTGTTGGAGGATGGAGAGGAGACGATACGTGTGGAATGGTACTTATGAAATTTGTTTTCCCTATTCCACAACTCCATTAGGAAGTTATTTTTTTCATTTTAAGGAACTTATTTTTCTAAAAAACATATTTTCCAAAAAATTTAACCAATCAAACGTGGGAAAATTAGTTTCACCATTCTATCTAATTTTCTGCAATGCTACATCTGGACAAGACAATTTCACTTTCCTATTGGAATTAAGCCAAGTTTAGCTTAGTTGGTGTCAACATTCTTGTCTAATCACAGCTGCTTGCCATGTGGATGTGGGGAGTTATTAATTAATCCTTAATTAACTTGGCTGATACGTAGATATTAAAAATTCTGTTAGTCTAAGGCTACTTATTGTTGTTTATTTTGGAACTAAACTATATGCCAAAGTTTAACTTAGTTGGTGTAAACATTTCTTGTCATGACAATTGACAGGCTACTTAACATTTGGAAGTGATTAATTAATTAATCTTTGAATCATTGCAACAATGGATTTTTTGGCGTTGAAATCATGGCTATTAATGCCTATGACTATATGGCATCTTCTTCCTAATAATGTCAAAATAGTTTCATATCTATTTCACATTGTAGATTTGAATTTTTTTTCTCAGTTATCTACATGGGTGTGGATTCAACTAACCTGAATTCACGCACTTTCCATCAAGACCTTTTCATTCGTAAGATGCAAATTGAGACCTTTAATTAAGAATGAAGAGTCCATATCTCACCTCAACCGTTGATGATAGATTCAACTTTAACTTCTTGTTTCATACTCAAGTTCTTCTGTTGTTTCTTATTATGTGGTTTTAGATGTTAGTGGATGACTCTATTATGCAAATATCCTATAAAATTGACATCCTTCCCAAATCACAAACAACAAGAAATATAACAAACTTGTTGACCGTCCAACTGCCACAAATACAAGGGAGCGGACCCATAGAGGTAATCCCTCGAGTTTTGTTTTTTTCCCATTTCGAATAGACTCCACCTAGCTAGTGCGCTTCTTAGCTGAATGCACAATTTAGCAGACTATGGGTGTGTTTGGTATGAAGGAAAATATTTTCCAATTTTTTCATGTTTGGTTGGGTTAAATGTTTTGGAAAATGTTTTCCAAATCAACTCATTTTCCTCAAATTTAAGGAAAATGACTTCCCTTCAAAACTTAAGGAAAACATTTTCCAAAACTCTATTCCAACTTCAAATTACAATTTTTTTTGTTTTAAAAAGTTTAAATTTGTTTTAAAAAAAGATTTTCACCTTCAAATTTTTTATTTTTCATCCCGATCCTCGACCACCCACCCCCCACCAAAAAAAATAAAATTGAGTTTGTTTTTAAAAAATATTTTCAATTTCAAAATTATTTTCTGATCTAGTATAAATAAAAGATATTTCTCAAAAATATTTTTCATTTATAAATCAAACACCAAAAATCTTTTCCGAAAAATATTTTCTAGTCACCAATCAAACATGAGAAAATAAGTTGAAAATCAACTTGTTTTCCAGGAAAACATTTTCTAGGAAAACATTTTCCTTCATACCAAACACACCCTAAGACGCTTCAGAAGAGAAGCTACATCCATCCCGAGTTTCAGGAGTTTAACTGTGAGTGTGACATACTTCAGACGAGTTAGATCACACATCTCCACTCTAAATCCAATCATGCTCAATAGAAATCATTAAGAATCCAATTTATCAACTAGTATGAGGCTTTGTCAGGTAATGAATCCACCATAAATAAATAAATAGAGAGAAATAAATGCAAATTTTATATCCATAATCTAAGATCAAGTATTCAAGAACAATATCTTATCAGAAGAATCTTTTCAAATTTCATCAGCAAAGTATTATTTTCAAACACTATAGTAATACATAAAAGATGTTGAACAATATCTAACTGATGTTTATAAAACAAGTATATCCCATGTAACTAGGTATTTTGATAATGGTACAAAGTGATCTGATCAGAATACACTCCACAGCCTGTAACACTATTCATTACATATCATTATCAATATATACAAGGCTCTATGCTAATTACTCATTAGTGACATGTTGCCTTTCTTTGACATTTTCAACCCCTGTTATTGAAGTTCATGAAGCTAGGTTGGGTCTGCCCACCGATGTTTTGGGTACTTGTCGTAGACTGAGGCATGTGCGGCTGCTGTTGTTGAGTATGGTGATTACCACATTGGACAAATGACTGAGGCTGGGGAGGGAAATGTGGACGCGGCCCCCTGCTTCCATTTGCAGCTGACATTTGACCAGCTGTTATCTTTAGACGCTGCAGTTCTTCTCTCAAAGCTTCATTCAGAGCTGGAAATTATTCACACACATATGTCAATACAATAAATAGCAGTGAAAATTATACTACTTATTAAGTTATTATAAGACCATACCGTCTCTAAGATGGGCTTGTTGTTCCAAAGCTTGCAACCGTAGTTTGAGTTCTTTGTTCTCAGTAGTCAATCCACTATTGTCTCTCTGCATCATCATACAGAAATAGCATGTAAATGATTAAGGATAAGTTAATTGTTATTATGGTTCTTGACAGCAGTGTTAGCAATAGCATAATTTGCAGTGGAAATATTCCATCCAGCACCACATAAATACAATACAGTCGATATATGTCTACAGAAATGTCCACAACTTGAAACTGTGATTTTGCACGCACAGCATATATGACTCATGAATAAATGGATCGTCCTAATGTATGTTACCCACCAAAATTAATGAGAAGAAGGGCAAAAAGTTCAACTGTCGACCAAAGTAATTTTTTTTAAAAAGGAAAACAAAAAGGCAAGGAGCATCATGGAAAAACAAGAATGGCAGACCTCCACACAAGCACATATGCATGGTTTTGTGGCAGTCAGATTCATACTCAACAATGACAAAAACAGCGAAGAAGTAGCATAAAGGTGACTTTTTGACCAAAATTTGAAGTTAAAAAAAAGATTTTACAACCAGAGCAACGAAAATAACGTAGATTCTACAAAAAAAATTATTGCTAGCTAGCAAGATACCATACTCGGATGTTTAAATGATGCTAGAAAACAAGATAAGAATAAGAACCTGTTAATTGATGATGAGTATTCCTCCATAAAAAGAAAGTTCATTATTTAGCATCAAAGACAAGCGCAACAACTTGAAAAATCCTAATTGCCTGACAAGCTAGAGGGTGGAAAAGAAAAGGTTTGACTGAAAATTTTCCTGTATCCTAAGAAAAGTTATGCTTTCCATAATTAGCACCAAAGAGAATGCAACAGCTTAGAAAAACCTACTTTCCTGTATTTTCCTCCCCTCCATCTTGCTAATGCTCGCACAACTTCCCTTTCCCTGATTCTATGCATTCAAACCTTCACGGGATCACACTATCTCACTTTTTCCAATATTCACCTCCCAACCACTAGCTCCCTCCTCCAGTGCCAGCAACAGCACCCTCCATATGTAACTAGCAATGGCACCATCTCTCTCTTCTCCAGTTCCCAATTACCATTTTTATGCCTAAGCATTCCACAGTACTTGCAAAAGAGGGCAGGGACATGGAACATAGTACTCACCCAATCAAACAGAATCCTAAATAAATAAAAAAATAATGTGAAGAAAATGAAATAATTGCTGTCTATGTAGTCATAACAGTTTAGTGGTAGATGGGCACAAGTTACCCCAATAACAGCCCTAATTCTAACTTCTTTGATGACAAAAGGGTTAATTTTCTGCAAGCAGGAAATAACGAAACCTCGGTTACTGAAAGTCAAAGGTCGCTTCACCGTTTTAGTAATAACCATCCGGCTGCATTGAATATTTTGATCATCCGCCAACATTTCTTTCAAAGTCACTTTGCTATTGATCGCACATTTCTTTCCCAAGTTTGAATTTCTTCACCAAATTGGTCAGCCAAATTTTGCCCGTTTTACTTCTTAGCTCGCCAACAGTAGGATTCTTGATTCTTCATCATGGTATTCTCATTAGTAACATGAACGATCAATTGCTTGACCAGTATATTGGTACTTAAATGTATTTTCCTTCATCTAACCACATGTTGAAAACCATTTAAAGATCAACACAAATGCACTCCTTCCCAATCATCGGGACTCCTCCCCCTTCCCTAGCTACCCTCTTTGCTAATATTTGCAATCCTGATCCTCCTCCTGAAGGCAAACCTACTTCACCTTCATAATGCTAATCCCTTCTCCTCCTCATGCACCACTAACTCCCTCACCCATTGCCAGCACCAGCGTTCCTCAAGTCCTAAAAAAACCATCTCTAGCTTTGTGATGCCCCCCTCCTTCTTGGAAGCAGCACCCCCTAGACTACTCTTCATCAATTCTCCAATTTCTCAACCTCAATGATAATCCTTCACAAAAGCTACTTTCTCATCCCCATAAAGCCATAATTTGAGTAAAAGACAAGATCATAAACCTAACTTATTCAATTTTTTAATCTACTTTTCCCGATAGGCACTTGGCTGAAAGACAACCCTAAAAAAAGGGAAAAACAAAGATTTATTTATGTTGATGCTATGATTGTAATTTA